ATTGAAACAACGCAATATTTTAAAAGAGCTTTTAGAAGAATAGCACAATTGTGTAATGTCTTCCTTAACATTTAAAGAGGGACCCTTTGAAATGAAGGGCACCATCTCTCAAAAAATACGCTTTTATGTACAAAATATCAATCCACATGGATTATATTGGTAGTAGGAAAGCAAACGAGTGAATAAAATCGTGAAGATCTCAAGTGAACATGCTATGTGTAAATACGTAGAAATACCTGACAAGCTCATACTGCTTTTAAGATGTTATTTCTGCCTGATTTTTGCTCACACAGGGTATCGCGATTTTCCACTGCTTTCCCTGCCTAGGTCGTTTCCCGGGATGCCAACTACAGAACAGGATCTCAGCACCATATTGCTGCTGCCGGCGTAGGCGTGCGCGGAGGGAATGAAAGGATCTTTCTTTCTAAACAATCCTGGTTTATTTATTTTTTATTGGTCTGTTAGCAGATGTTGAAGTAGTTCGGGGCACAAAGCAAACATGTGCTTTTCAATGGAGCTCTGGTAAGCGGCGCGGCGCACAATGAGGCTCGAGCACCGGGGAGGGGGCTTCGGGGGAGGCCCCTGTTCTCCGCTTTTTTTGTGTGTGTGCATGTAGTTGGATTTAGAATTAGAAGGAGTGCTTGATCTTTATATATTGCAATCCTCAGCGTGCGCAGTGACAGCATGAGCCCGAAGAGAAAGCCGTGGCCCCATGTGGTGTGAAAAAAAGGAACAGCAGTTTAAGTGCTTGGAAAGTTGAAAGAGAACTAACCTCCTTGTTCTGGTCGGCAAGGAAAGGGGCCGCTTTGTGCCGCGGTGCCGAAGCAGAGCATATGTGCCTCCCTTGGACAAAAAGCCTCTCGAGCGGGAGCCGGGCGCATCGGGAGCGAGGGCCGGCTCTCGGGAAGCGGCGAGCGGATAATAACCACCTAAGTGGGGAATTCTGCGCGCCGTCCTCGCCGTTCGACTCCACGCGCGCCGCGGCCCCGGCGAAGCGCCTGCCGTACAGCTGAAATGGGCCATTAGCTACCGGGGAAAATTGTCTCTGCTACTTTCAGCAGATGGAGCAAATATTTTACGAAGCAATTTTACATACAAAAAGCATTTGTGCTACTTGGTAACAATGGCTGTTTTACATGATGTTACCTTCGATCAGGATATGCTTTTCCAGCTCAGGGAGGACAAAATTGGCACTTTTTAATTTTAAAATCTGCAGCTCACAATTAAATGCTTGGTCTTTAAATGAGTTTTCAAACTTTAAGTAGGTAGGGCAGTCAGTGCCCCATTTTCAATGCCCCATTTTCAAAAGCATTTCCATGTTTTAAACCTTTCAGACTGCCCTTCAGTGGGGCAGACTGTGGTTCTGACTAGCGTGTACCTGTCTGAATTGGGAAAAATATCAACAGTTCAATTTGCCAAGTAGGAGATAATGAAAATGATGCTGTTCTTGGGCTTTCCTGGCGGTGCCACATTCGCTCGTGGTGCTAGGACAGAAGAGCGAGGAGGGCTGGACCAGGACATGTCCAGGCAGCTGGACTGAGTTATCAAAGCTGCACTGCTGGCAGTGTAAGGGGTAATATACTGCATAACGGGTACGTGTAAGGGGTAATATGCTGCATAACTGGTATAAATTGCTGTAGCTTCGCTGACTTCAGAGGCGATGCAGCAGTTTATACTGCTGAGGATCCATCTGCTGATTTTTTTTTCTTTGACCCACTCAGTTTTATTTATTTAGAGTTACTTTCTTCACTATTTGCTTGCAAGGTCTAAATTTCCTTTCAATCTGATTTTTTTTTTTTTAAACTAAAAAGCTTCAGGTCTTTCTCATGCATTCTGCTCTACAGCCTCTTGCTGTCCCCAGGTCTTTCTGTGGATTTGTAATTCTTTTTTCTCTTCATATACCTGTCTTCTGAATGGGCTTTTCTGTGCACTGGTCTTTCTCAAGTGCATCTCCCCATTCCTTCAACATACTCCACGGTCAGTCCTTTTCTGCTGTTGTTTTAAGACAGCCTTCATAAATTCAGCTCGCAGCAGGGTGCGAAATTATTTTATATCGAAGGATGGAAAGGAATATATTCTTCATGCTTGTTCATCATATGTTATTAAAAAAAAAAAAAAGTGAAAAACAGGTTTGGATAGATTTACACATCTCTGCATCCTTTAGAAATAATATTTGGCCTGAAAGTTCTGCTCATGTTGAGCCTGATTCTGAATTGTTTTGGGCCACATCAAGAGATGAAACATGGATGAGCTCTGCTGGAGATACTGTCCAATTTAAATGGAATTAGTCCTCCAGAGCAGTCATCCTTTTTAAAAGGCTTGATTTCATCAGTGAATGTTAGATCTGGGCTTGAATTTGTCTACTAAAACTCCCTTACAATCAGGATTATTGCCTTTTTAGAGCTTACAAGTAAAAAAAAAAAAAAAAAAGCCTTCAACTTGAATTCCAGGTGCTGATCCTTAAAAAGTGGTTACCTGACTCCCTTCCGTGAACAACTTGATTATCTAGGTGTTAGCTGGTAAAAGCATGTTTGATCTCACAAGGAGATTTTCCCAAGTTTCTTGAACTTATTTTTTTTAAGCCACTGTCATGTTCCTGCAGGTCCTGGGTCTTGTGCATGCCCCCTTCGCAGCCAGCGAGCACTGGGAGGGCTTCAAAGCACAAGATGCTCCTGTGCTCCATGCACCCACGTTGCTTTCAGAGGTGACCTGAGTTTGTCCTGAATTCGAGTCCCCTTCAACTGCTTTTTGACCTTATTTGAGGAAGCAGAACTGGGCACTTGAGGAACTACCCCAAGTCTTGCCTGTCTCATGCCCTTCATCGGGACAGACACCGGTGACAAATGATGGCACTGCGAGCGCGGAGGAGCCAAACAGGCACCCAGGGTTTGACCAGGACCTTGTAGACAGGGTCCAATCACCTCCTTTATTTGCAGGGAAATAACATGTATTCCAAAGAAAGCAAACAAAAAAGGAATTGTCCTGGCTGCCCTCATGTGTCTCAGAATTATTGCAACGGAAAATATTGGCCCAGCTCATATGCCTGTAACTTAATTTTTAACTATACAGGCTTGGTCAAAGCCCTCTCAAGTGCCTGCACACATCCATCTGGGATTATTGTGTTTTCCCCCAGTAATTTATCAAGCGCTTTCAGGGAGCCGTGCCCATTCCGCTCTGTTTTCCTATTTTGTTTCAAATCGCAGAGCGCTGCTCCGGTCCCGGCTCCGTGTGCCCGAGAGGTGCAACCTGCTGCTGCAGGTCAGCGCCTCCCCAGCACTGCTCAGGAGCAGCCCCTCTCCCCAAAGCTGCCCCCGTCCTCACTGCACGGCCACGGGCCTCATCCTGGGACTTCTTGCCTTAATATTTCAAAGCAAACGCAGACAAGGCCAAGGGATATTTGCTCACTCTTGTGTTGTTTCAGTGAGCTGAACTCTCCCAAATTCCCCGCTACCGTCTCTGCTAAAGGCAGACTAGCAGTGTAAGACTTGAATCTGGAGAGGTTCTGAACTTGGGTCTCACTTTTGACGTGGTCCTTTCTTTTTGCTAAAAGGCTCTGCTGCTTAGTATATTGATATACTGACTACAAATAGATTTTCAGAATATTAAAAAATATATATATAAAAAATAAATATTTAAAGTTAATACACTCTTAGGGTATGTTGGGACCCACATGACCTGGATCACCATCATATCTAAATGCCTCAATATTTTAATGCTGTTTACTCTCAATTCCATGTGTAGTAGTGCACTGTGCTTGTCTCCCTTCCATGGCTTCATAGCTTGAGGCATGAACCTAGTCATCTTCCCAAAATTTCCCAGGAAGCAGCATCCAGGAATCAGATACATCTATATGCCACTTGGATTCCCTAATCGTTCTTCTGCCTCCTTCTCCTCATTTTGGTAAATAAATCACAGAATAAGTTGATTTTGAATTCATATTTTTGGGTAATCACATCATGAGAAAACCTCTCCAAATTCACTGCCCTGGAAAAAACTGTTTGCTTTTCTATTCATAGATGTTAGCCATAAGGTTTTATCCTGTTCCTCCAGAGCTAAAGATAATGCCATTGTGGCTTAGGATATTGCCAGGATCCCAGGATGGCCGGTCATCTTCCGAAGCACGGGAAGCTGGAGAGGGAGGATCTACAGCAGCAGCAAAGAGACCCAGGGGAAGGCAGGGAATGCTTATGAAGCAGCAAGAAAAGGAGCCTGAAGCAATCGAGTCAGGGTCCTTGCACTTTATATGCTCCTGTGCTTCTGGGACTGTTTTCAACAGTAAAAGCAATGCAGTTAGTTGCTGTATTTAATGGGGTGGTTTTGTGTGTGTGATAATATAGTAAAGAATTTAAAACCGGGGATAAGCTAGTTCGTATCCTGTAATACAATAAATCAAATTCTACCAAAGATTAGCAACGCAAATTCATGTAGGAATTTATTATAAAGACAGGGGAGTGTAATAAGGGTATTCCCTATGTGATAAGCCCCCTTGGTAGTTTCTGGCCTGAAATTTGTTGTAACTACAGGGTGAATTTTGATTGGGTTTATATAATAGCTTATACATAAAGAGAGTCAGTAAAACTGTTTCTGGCATATATGCCTACTCCAATAAGCTCAGTTTCAAAATAAAAACAAGTTATTGACTGCTGATATTGATCACTGAGCAGCTGCCAAGTGCTTAGCATTTTCAGTTGTCACATCAAATTACTGTTATCAATTATGATAAAATAGATGCTGTATTGAAAGGAGGGAAATCATCTTTCAGAGAAAGACAGTTTTCAATAGGAAGGAAGAGTAGTAAGTAGAAAAATTTAAAAAAGGCTTCCTGACTGTGGGTAATCATAAACCACATTCTCTCTTTTTTTTCCCTTTTCCCTTTTTCCTTTTTTTTTTTTTTTTTTTTCTTTTTTTGCCTGTTGGAGGCCTGGTTTTTAATCACCCCACAAGCAGTTTTCATTTCTGTAGTAAAATTGCTTGTGGTTCTATTTAATTTGTTTCTGCAGGAGCCAGCTTTGGTGAAGATCTCCCAGGAGCTGCCGGGCCTTTTAGCACAGCACGTACAGCCAGTCAATGAGAAACGATTCCCTACATGGGAAAAATTCCTCCAAACATTTCTTAGTCAAGGTAAATAAGACTGCAAAGTCGCTGTTAAATGTTAAAAGGAGTAATTATACCATATTGTATACCATATTCTTGTTAATCTTGGGCCCATTTAAATATTTATCTCCTTTTATTTCTCCCCTTATGCTTCAAATGTTCATTTAAGAATGAATTATAGGCAACTCTTCTATCATTCATGTGTCCTACCCAAGCATTTAACCCATATTAATCCTGGATTACCTTTCCCACATGATTGTCAGTCAATAAACATTAACTCCTTAGTGGCAGGGTGCTATGTGGGAGGTTGTCACATTTGAGGAAGGACTTCATTAGGGAAGGTGCTAATAGAGCTTGCACATATTTCCATTTTTGTTAAGGATTGGTGAGGAAACATCCATGAGACCTTGGTTTGCCTCCTGTGGTAGTGAGCCCTGCACTTTTCATGCTATATATGTGCATTGTATAGAGTCAGCTGTGCTTATAACCCTTGAGTAACGAGCTTGGGTGAAAGCTGAGCTTTCTGCTTGGGTTTTGCCTCCCAGGTAGGTGGTGTGGCAAGCCTGGGTCAGCAAAGCCATGCCTTATTGTGCTGCACAGAATCCGGGCACGGTATTATATATATACATAACTTGCAGTTAGGCCGTTGTGGGGCTGTTTCTTGCCCTCCAAGCTAAAGGAATATGAGCAAGTTGCAACCTGCAAGTTCGGTGGTTTTGCTCACACGGTGCTGAGCCCTCACCGGGGCTTCCAGCAGTAACTCAGGGCACCTTTGGATCAGGGCTGGCCCCTGTCCAACCGGCTCCGCTCGGAAGCGTGTCCGTGTTTGGCCATACAAGGCAGCACAGATAAGTGTTGTCTAATTGCTACATATCAGTGTATCTGTGAGTGGCTTTGCATAGAAATGTTAGAATCCTATATTAGGATGCCAAGTTTTAGGCCAAAAAGATGCGGTATTTGTGCTTGGGTAGTACATTTCTGTGGTAATCTGCCTGGCAGTTGTATTCTTTCATATTATGTAAAATAGATATAGGCATTTCATAGATTTCTATCTGTTGAACTGACAAAGGCAATTCAAAAAATTGAAAGTGTTTTTGGAAAAAACAATGCCAGTTAACATATATCATACCAATTTTCATTATCTTCTAGCTCATCCTAACTAAATGCATTACAACATTATATGCAGTAGAAAGACAGTCCCAGAATGCCAAATAGTCTCCTCTTTGTGATTTCCTATGGGCAACTATGCTAACAGTTGTCAGCTTTTCTGACCTTCCCATGTGCATACCATTTTCCTCACAGGGATGTGAAATAGCTCCAGTTTAGAACAGCTTTCAGAAGCCGCCAGCTGAACTGTGCAGTGCTGCAGTGGTGGAGATACCACCTTCCTCTTCCAAGAGATTCACAGGGTCTAGCTTTGCTGCTCACATTACATTTATTTGCTTGCTGCATCTCCATAGCAGTGTCTGCAGTGGCTGAGCACAGGAGGAGCTGGGAGGTTCACTTTGAAGAGCTTCACAGGTGCCTTTTATTGCTAACTTAACCACTCCTTCATTTCTTACTAGGTGGTGTGATAGAAGCCTTCCCGCTCTCTGAAAACGTCACCAACCTTACAGTGGATATGCTGATAGAGCCAACAGGCAACATAAAAATAGTGTCATCTGGAGACCAGCTCCATGCTGATGGTCCTCTGCGCTCATCTGGCACTACCATTCCACAATGTTCTGTGGATCCAGCAGTTCTTAGTTCGCTGTGCTTGAAAATTGGAGAGACCTGTAAATCCAAAGGGGTGCTCGGTTACTTTTCGGTTGACTTTGTGACTTTCATCCATCCACAAACACTGGAGCAGCAGGTGAGTGGGGTAGGTATGTCACTTCATATTGTCCCCCTAAGATCAAGAACCCTCTGTGCTCTTCTGTGACACCAACAGATAATGGGGAAAAAATTTTGCCCTTCTGAACAAACTTCTAAGCAGTGCAGCATGTGGGGATGTCCATGTGGTAGGCATACTGTTATTATAACAGCATCATAAAACTTAGACCTGAGGAATCTTTCTCATTGGCCTGAAGAGTAGGAACTCAGCAGTGCCTGTAGGGTTTCTTTCAAAGCTGAGTAAAAGAAAAAAAAATATTTTCATTTTCAAATGACTTTCCTTTGCCTAAAATAAGTGCACTCTGCAATAATGTGGTAATTACAGAGGATAGTTTCATGGCTAAGACCACAGAGAGGATTTTAGTTTCAAAATGTTGACAGTTATGACTCTCTTGTATTTTGCTCTGCAAGAAATAATTGTATGGATTATAGTACTATTTTTAGAAACTAGTTTCTCACTAAGAATGCAGGTATTGTGTGAGATTGAAGCCCAGGAACAGAGGATATGGATAGTTAAAATGTGCTCCTCCAACGTGTGCAGCTTAAACTGCCTCTCACACAAGTGTTCCTGTGGGATTCCCTCCGTGGCAGCTTGTTCCTGTGAGCCCTCCAGCCGGGCTGCCTGGGCATCCGTTGGATCTCGGGAAGCTCCGCAGCTCTCTGCATCCAAAAATGCACGATACAGCATTTTAATTTATGATTCTCCAAGGTTAAGGCTTTGCATTACCTGCAAGGGCACATGCCACTAGGAAGCCCATGTAGTGTCTGGGGTGCTGGAGCACCCTGTGACCTCCAGCAGGCAGGAATAACTAAGCAGGACAGCAGGAGCCAAATAAACACTTTCCCAGGCATCCTGCCCAGGAGAGGCTTTTGCAGAGATGAGTAATGGGACCTTTTTGAAAGGTAAAATCAGAACCACTCAAGTGACCCTGGACCTCCCTGCCTACAAGTCTATCAACAAAACCTCATAGTCAGCTGTATCAGGACTTCTGACAACGGAGGTGGTGTGATAAATCAGGACAGCGGCAGCAGGGCATCAACTGAGGATCTGCTGCTGCCTGTGAGAGATGGCAGGAAAGCAGAGGGGCTGTGGCCACTGCTCCTTCTCACCAGTAGCTGAGTTTTCAGATCTGTAATGCACGCTCCTGTCAGTGCCAAGGAACGAGCAGGGAAGAGGATGGATCGAAAGAAGCAGTGTAATGAGAGCTGTAGTTGCAGGTGGGTTACCCTCATTCCCTCATTAAGGTCTATCTTGGAGGTGAAGTTGTATTAACAGGCGGTAACGTTGCTGTGTATGTGCCCAAAATAAATCCTAGCATTCATTTCATTCCGTTCATTAGTGTCTCTCGTAGGAGTCACAATAGATGGGTCTCATTCCATTAGCAATCTGCAACATGCTTTCCAGCTAAATCTTACTCCACGTTTTTGTCCTTTACTTCCTGGCATGAATGTTAATGATCAGTCTGGATCACAGCTTATAACAAAATATTCATCTTGCATTCCTCTCTTCTTGAGTAATATGGCACTTGTTTTATAACATCAGATATCCTTGTTACAATGTGATCTGCTAAATTTTTCCATGAGTCAGACGCAGCAGAAAGCAAATGCAGAGTATCCCTGAATACTATATTATGTGTAAAAACATTTTCATGAGCTGTACGATTAGTTAAGCCAGGTTTCCTATAGATTTGTCTTGAAGTTAAGTTACTCTGTATTCTGCAGCTGAACTCATCCTGCAGCCTCTTCCGTCATAGAGTCACTGGTGACTCCCTTCCCTCTTTCCAACTGCCTTATTTTAGGAATCTTGTGTGCATTTAATATGTTTGTCATTTTACCTTCTTGCCAAATTTTGTTGGTATTGGCCAATGGGGGGTTGGATATTATGACAGTTGTGCAAGCCTAAAGCGTAAGGCCAGACTGAGAAAGGAAATCTCATTTCAGCTTCCAGTGTTCGGACAGTGACCTTGTGTTTGTAGACTAAAGAAAATAAAGTAATTTTTGAACAAAGTAAAATCCTTACTGTTGGTGATGGCTGCTGTTTGTGAGCTTACTGAGTGCAACCACGTGCATTCAGAATTAGCATTTGCATGCAGATAATTCAAAATCTCAGCACCAAGTTTCAGTTGTTCTTGACTTTCCAACGTGCCTCTGTCTTCTGGCTCTTCGGACATTGACTCTGCAGTCACTTGGGTGTCTGAGCGAGTCTGTTGTCTTCCACACTCTTCAGTTAGAACCCTCAGGGTTTAAGAAGTGCAGCTGTAAATGGAAATAGATCTGTTTGCTCAGCTAAGCTCAGCAGCATGGCTGGAGTTTTCCGGGCTGGTATGGATCTACGCACGCAAAGCCATTTCCAGGGCTGTTTCTCGTAGGCATCTCTGAAAGTCACAGCTTGGATGGTGTGAGAAAAGGCTTTGAGTACAGGGCTTGTGTTTGGAGTTGGCATATGGTATCTATTGGCAAAGCCAGGCTCTTTGGCAGTGCTATGATAATTATATTCCATTTTAAGCACAGGGAAAGCTTAAACCAAGCTTTTGGTGACTGATAGGCTACAGTGACCGTGGCGAACCGGAGAATGAGAACTCATTAACACCAAAATGTGGATTGCAATTGCATCTCCCTCCCTCGATGTGTTTACACAGGAGTTGCAGTTAGAACTGAGGATAAGCCGTACTGGATAACTTCCATGTAAAGTTGCTTTAAAAGATTAAGGTTTGACATTCTCCTCAGCCCCAGAAGTCAGTGGGAATTTTGCCAGTTGTTCAGTGGAGCCAGGAGTTCACCCAAACACAGAAATGCTTCCTTGGTTATTAAGGTTGGGACATTTCCTGGCATAAACAAGGACATAGTAAATCAGTCAAGGTGCCATGTGGTTTCTTACTGCTTCTGTCCATTCTCTCTTGGTTTTATTTCCTTGTTTTCAGTTGATTCTACCTTAATATTTCCTGCATTTTTTAGCGTACCACAATTTTAACAGTATTTAAACCCTGTGTTTTTTTTTTTCTTTTGAATTTAACTAGATATTGAGCCAATTAATGATGCCATCTGTCTTGCGAGAGAGATTATACAAAAGATTGTGCTTCTGAAAGCCTATTTTTTGGCAAACAAGAAATGCTATTAGGCTCTCCAAACATTCACTCACTGATTTCAGAAGTGCCCATTTTAATGCAGTAGCTGAAAGGCTGAGATAAGTTTCCTGGAAGTAGAGTATACTTAGGCATCCTTTCAAAGCTGTATTTTGCAGAAAATATCAACTAAAAATACCATATTTTCAGTAAAGCTAAAATTAAATATATCATTGAACATCTGTTACCAGTGCAGCGAAAGAGTATTTAAATACTTCAGAAACCATGAAACCTTCATGCAGTTACATGCTACATAAATACAACCTTTTAAAAAAATGTGAGGGGTCAAATAAGTGAAATAATCCGCTTTTGCAGACTGAACAGTTCCATGCTGCAATATGTGTCATCACAGGTGCTTACCCTGAGTATTCATTCAAAGAGGAGCAGAGGGCAGATATGCATGGGGCTTTTTACCCAGAAAATCTTTAAAAATCTTTAAACATCAAATTAAAATTGATATTAACAAGGATGTACTGCTTATATGTATAAGGTTGTTACTGCTATGAAGTATTTTCTCCCAGCTCTCGTGCTCTGCTGCTCCTCTCAGTGTAATAGCGCCCAAGCTCTGCGATTTCCTGCCTCAGAGAAGGCAGATGGAGCCCTGCCATTTCCAATATTATTAAAAATAATAATAATAAAAGAGGAGTGGAAAAATTAAGTGCACAACTTAGATCACTCCTGATTTCCACTCGGTTTTCCAAGCCTGGTCTTTACGAGCAAGGCCTTGACCCTTCTGACTAGAGCCTTGCACCCTATTGACTGGATGCTTCTCAGATCCCAACTTGTCAAGTAGTTGCACTTAAATAAGGCCATTTAATTGAGTAGGACTCTCTGAATGTATAAACTTACTTACTTCCATAGATTTGTGGATAGATAATTTGGAGAAGCGGGGCCCTAAGTCACCTTTTTCATTGGCCTGATAGATTACACGTCCCCTCACCTTTCACAGCAACAGGGAGAAAAGCCTAGATGAAGTTGAATACCTCTTTACATACCTTGCAGAATAAAAAAGAATTACAGGGAGGACAAAGCAGAAGTGGCCCTATCAAAATTGTATGAAAAAACTCCACCTTTGCAGGGCAGGAATCAGGAAATTTGGGAAAATCGGGAGGTTTTTTCGTGCGGAGCCACTAGGTGGCAGCCAGGCAAGAGCCTCTCCATGCTGGAATGATCAATTCCTCTGCGAATTTGAAAAGTAATAAAAGAAGCTCCCTTCCCAAACCCGGGTTGCATTAATATTTTACTAATTGACGTTTTTACAGTGCCATTCAACTGCTTCTTTAAAAATAGCAGGTGTGCTCTTTACAATAATGTAGACATCAATACTAGATGCAGATAAAACAATTAAACGGCAGCAAGAAAAGCTATAATTTAGTAACTGTTTAAGAATTTATGTTTCCTTCTCTTCTCAAGTTTATGCTTTAAAGCCAAAGCATGGTTTATGGTAGCTGTAAAGAATTACACTATAATTGTGGCTTTATTCACTTGGGATGTCCTTATCATGAAGCGCAGGCCCTTAAGCTGCGGTGCCCGAGGAGAGCCTCTCCCGGCAGCCTTTGGCAGCCCGGGTCAGAATTCCAGGCTCCTTTGTATTTCCTTGGGCAAAGAGGCAGGAAGTCTGCTGGGATGTATTTCTGACTGCTGTTGTCCAGTGCTGGGATTCTGAAAATCCCAATCTGTGCTTTTCTTAGCTTAATCTAAAGTGCGTGAAGTTGCGAATGCCTGAACTCGTCACGACAGCCCAATACTGAAAACTGCCTCTTCGTTTGTAACCATAAGGTGGTCTAAAAATCCATATCCGATTATCTTTGAACTTTCCCTTGTCTGGAAAATCCGGTGTTGGTTCTAGACTTCAAATGAGCTCTGCTCCCGTTTCATTGCTGAACACAAATGCTCCGCTGCTATGTGTGGAAATTCGATTTATGGGGGAGAATATTTCTGGTGATATTTAGATCGTGAGAGTCCTGAAATCCCAAGTTAAATGTGCTCGTGTCCCATTAATTTGCCATGCAATTCAGTTGGGACGTGACGTTAAGCGCATAGGGGCCCTTATTGTATATCCTAAGAAACTGAGGCTGGACTTGCCCGTGTTGGTTAATTCGTGTGACTGTCTCGGTCTTTTGTCTTTATTTAAAAGTGACCTTTGCACAGACCTTCTTCCACGAGCCCCTGCTCTACTGCAGGAGACACCAACTCAGCTGGTTATTAACCAACCGCCCGACCTCCGCACACTTTGCTTTGTAAACTATGGAAATATATTCATGCAAGAAACCACCCCCACACGCACGGCTGAGGTTTTCAAGGCATTTAGCAGCTTTGACGCCCCTTTGCTGTTACTTCAAAGCTAACGAGCAGGTTCTGGTACCGCTTTAGCAGCGCAGGGAGCGCAGGCGGGTCCATGGGCCTCGCATGCTGCAGGAGGACGTCTCAGCTCCCAGGCCTGGGCCTGGCTCAGGTAACTCAACATTATTGCACTGGACCTGAGGAATGTTTCCGTGTGTTGTAGTGGAGGAACAGCTACAGCTCTGCGTGCTGCAGCGGCCTCAACAGCCTCTAACCCACTGCAGTAGATTGGCCTTCTGCACTAGGCATTGCTGAAAGCTTCTCCAGATTTATTCTTCACTATTTTTTCGGGCTGATGCTGTGTATTTTTCCTTAGAGCTCATGCAGTTCTGGTCTTACTCCCCCCTCCCTGACCTTTCTTGTATTCCTTTCAACTGTTTCTGCATTTCCCTGCTTTCCAGGCACCAACAGAGGGAACCTGCGCTGCCTCTTTCTCCTAGTTGCATGCGATGATGGCAAGAAGGATGAGTGCCCTTTTATTTGCCATATTATGCCTAGACTCAATGACCTGGAAGGTCTTTTCCAATGATTCTGTGATTCTACATTCAATCTAGTGCTTCAAAATGTGGAGGTAACCAATGAACCCAGGGGAGAACCAGCTCCGTGCAGGTCTCCTTCACCCTCACAAGCCCACCAGCTTGCAGAGTTTTCATCAGGCCACTGCTGGTTTCACTGACACTGTCCCACTGCCCACGCAGTCACCAAGTGGCCCCTGCCCTTGGGGTGCATTTGCCTGCAGAACTGGAAGGAGCAGCAGAGCTCAGTGACACGTCACACACAGCAGGGAGTGGAAGAGACAGCAATAGGTGGATCTAAACCACATCCCAGCGTTGGTTAGAGACATGAGATGGGTAGATCCACCCTGAAAACACAGGGTGCAGATGCGCCCTGCTCCACACTCTTGCTCTGCTCTTAGATGTGTGTCTCAGTGCGTGTTCCTCTCCCATACCTAGCCATACTCGTTTAGCTCTGCGTGCACAGGAGCACTCTCAAACCAGTAGAAAACCCTGTGTTCTTGGCATGAGCTTGGTGGCTTCCTCACAGAAAATGAGGAGTTATCAGCGCTGGAGTTCACCTCATTAGAATTCTTCAGACACATATACGAAGGATTCTGGTGCTTTTTCGTTGTTTATTACAATTAATTTTAGGTCATTACACTCAAGGGACACCTGCTAACTTCAATATGGTCAACATGTGCTTAGTCTAATTTAATGAGCTCCCCCTTTCCATTTGGGAATATATATTGATATATTATTGGTGAAAGGTGCCAGACTGATAGAGGTAGCAAACAGATGTCCCCTGCCTGGTTCCAGAACCCCGGGAGCAGCCGTGGCCTTCCCAGCGCTCCGGCAGTGGGGCCTGGGCACGCTCAGCTGTCAGCCCTGCTTTGAGACGTCCAGAAACGTGGCCTCTTCATAACTGCTGTGGTTTTGAAAGGGCACCTGGAGCCTTTAGGAACTGCCGTGGCACTTCCAAGTCTGTTGAAGAAGTCTGCTAGTTACTAATGGTCTGGCCTGAATTTGAACTGGTAAAAAAGGGGGCAAATGTATTCTCATTCCCGTGAAAATGAAGCTGGGCCCACGGGCTGCCTTGCATCTCCCCTGGCTCTCTACAAGAGCAGTGCTGGATTTCCACGGTGAAAGGGAATCCCCTGCCCGGGCAGAGCTGCCCTTTGAAGCCACCTCCTCCTCCTTTCCCCACGTTGGGGATGTTCTGGGTTGGAAGGAGGGCGGAAAGGGACGTGGCTCCGGTGTCCTGTCCCGATGCCGCGCCAGCAGAACAGTCCTCGATCCCGGTTGGCACGGGGGTATGACCATTTGGCTGCTCCCCTCGCGGTCAGGGTGGTTCAGCCTCAGGCCTCGCATTAACGGAGGTGGAGAGGTGGCCTGCAGCCACACTCGCCTTCCTCCCCTGCGCTCCCTGCTGCGGAGCCAGCCCTGAATCAAAATAAATACCTAAAAATGTGCTGGGTACCTGATGGCTCTCGTCCCCAGATCTGAAATGTAAATACAAGGGCCCTTGTGTGTAGTTCAGTTATAGTCCCCAACAAAGTAGGGTTTGTTGAATAACTTGTCCCATGTTCTGTACCTCTCCTCTCAGTCTCTGCCACGGTGTAAGAAATTTGGCTTGTGCTCATGGCTCTTTGGCTTTGCCAGGTTGCATTTTTCATGCTTTGCTGCTAAATGTCCAGCTGCTTCCTCACACACTGCCGGGACAGGGGCCTCGTGCTCACGCGCAGCCTAGATGCTCTGGGGTCACAGCGATGCCTTTGCTGAGCCCCTCTGCCCTTTTCCACCCGGCCCTTTATGGTCCATCTCCACCCTAAGTTGCCTCCTACCTGTGTTCACCCATCAGCAAAACCTGCAGAAAGGCCAGGATGGACTTAGGTTAGTGCAAAGCAGATGCAGCATCAGGGTCCGGGCTGAGAGCTGCCCCTTCGTGTTGTCTGAGCTCCCGAGCAGTCCCTGGGTATCCAACATGTTGGATCTTCCCAGTGAACTTCAGTTTTCAGCAGTCACGTAACCTGCTCGTCTATGTGGGGGGCAAAGCCCTAACTGAGATTCCAGGGTCCAGCTCAAGATTCCAGGCCTGCTGGGTGTTGCTGTTTTGGAAATATTTACAGAAAGAATGTAATGCTTTTACAGCATATATTGTTTATCATTACTGGGAAGCTCATTGGAAAGGTTAGTGCAGACTGAAAAAGCACAAGTGCATGTGGAAGTTCCTTCCTGTCTTGCAGAAGTGATGCTGTTGGATAAATTATTGAAGAAAATTAAGCACTGTAATTGGAGAAAGTTCCCCTATTCCTAAGGAAAGGCAGCCATTAGCATCAGATTTGCATTTTATACCGTGCGGCAGGAAATGTTTAAGTTGACAAATAGGATATTTAATACAGCAACAGATACTTGGCAGTTAGTTATTAACAACTGTTACTGATGTGATTTATTCCCCATTATAAAAAGGGCATTACTATGTGAATATGATGCAGAAATTAACTCCAGTTTACCGAGAGGCCTTGACTGCCTGACCTCTTAATATCCTTATAATGACTCCATTTACTATTCAAAGGCTTATTCAAGTCATTCACTGCTGGATTTGTTTTAAAGGGGTCCACTGTAGGGCAGATAGTTTGTGCGCTAACGTTTCCCAGCGACACAAGCATTTTTTAAATTGGAAAAACTCACGGGTAAAATAGTGCTCAGGGGGCAGCGACAACCCGTGGAACCTCCTCCCGCTGCACCCTGGATGTGTGCGGATGGGATGGGAGAAGCGCTCAGCCCGGTGCTGGGGCTGAGCTGTTGGGTTTGCATTAGCAAATGCTGCTTCTTCCCCAGCCAGGATTCGCTGTGTCGCTCCGTGCCGGCCTGCAGGATGCTCCCAGGGGCAAGTAACGTAGACGGGCAACGATATCTAGCTCAAATGCAGCCTCTACACAGCGTTTGCACGTGGGAGGACCCTACCCCGTGCCCAAGTTGCCCAGCTGTAAAATAACCCTGTGCCCCTGCATAAAAAGCGTTTTCCCCCCGCGGGCCCCTGCAGCGCCCTGGTGCTCGCGAGCAGCTCCGTGCGCGACGGCTCCGTGCGCAGGAACGGGGCACGTTCTGCCAGCAGCCGCAATCCCGCAATCCCGGCCCCTCCGGGAACTGCCCAGATCCAAAGCTGAAGGAGCCGCCCAGGGCCGCAGCGTGGCGGGAGCGGAGCGCAGCGCCGACCATGGAGCACCGGCACGACCATTTCAAAATGGAGATTCCACAACTGAGCGCTCATGGTTTAGATTTGCCTTCTGGACCTTCCTTTTTCCATGGGTTTGTAACTCAAGTTGACTTTATTTAACTATTCTCCAGCTGGAAAATCCAGGGGTGGTATTTAGTATTTATATAGCTAGTGTGACCCGGGCTTTATGCTTTTCAATCTCATCTATCCACTTTCTTTAATTCTTACTAAAATCTGTGTAGTAAAGGTAACTGTTTTTTCCTTAGCCTTTGTTTTCTTTGGTAGATTATCTTGGAACGTTACCTAAGTTTTGATTGTCACAATCTAGAAATTGTTTATCATTGCCGGTGGTCTTCCAGTACAAGAAAATCATAATCATATATACCAACATATATGAAATGGTCCTTTAATGATCTTTTAATTTCACCATTCTCTTTTTTTCTTTTTTTTTTAATGTTCCTGTTTGTGTTTTGAATAGGTGTGGGCAACAGACCTTGACCTTTGCTATAGTGACCAGCTGGCCTTGACGCAGCTCATGTTGTATGTGACAGATGGAAACCTGGATTGTCGCTCTGGCCTCTTTCAAGTGTCACTTGGTTCACAGAAAACAAAAAGCCGTCGTATTAAGCATGGAGAGACGCAGACTGTAAGCAACGATTTGTTTACAAATGAAATTATTAATGCAGATTATCCAAAAGTTAAAATCTAATCACTGGTCTTGGTCTGCATACCAGAGCTGCTACTATTAGATTTTAGGAGCATGTTAAACTAAATGAGACACCATCACCTTAGAAATTAAATATTTTAAGTGTTTGTGGATACCTGATTATTTAGCCTCTCTATTCAATAATATCGATTTATGGTAGCAAATAATGTATAAGCATTCTGAGTAGCTTTCCTGTTGTAAGAGACGTGGTGATTTCTGTGCTGCAAGACCACGGCAGGAGGCCAGAGCACTGCCCTGACAACAGGAGCACCCAAAAGGCGTCGAGCAAAACCGGAGCCTCCAGCTCCCGAGCCCTGCTCTGGGCTTGGAAATCAGGACACTGAAGTTCTACCCAGCTCTATAATTTCATGCACGAAACTGAGAGGGAGAAAGTCAGGGATATTTCCACCAAAGGATCTGCACACCTCTGTATGTGACAGGTCTCGTGGAGTTAAACCCAAATCTTCCTCCTCAGAAGAGTCAGCTCTGTGCAGCCCGGAGGTGCCCAGTTCCTCGGTACTGGCCGTGGACACAGGCATCTGAGCAAGGAGGGCTCCAGGCTCCCCAGCCAGTGAGTTTGCTAACGGGGACATAGTCAGGCTCCCTCTTGCTGTCTCGGCTCCAGAGTTGGGATTCCAGCGGGAATGCAGTGCAGAGCCGGGTAGCAAAGCCCTGGAGAGGAGACGAGCTCAAACCAGCCCCGACCCTTCCCCATCTCATTATTTTCTGTTGCCACCTTGGATTCTTCTGCCTCCGGTGCCTCCCGTGCGGTGAATTTGGGAGCTCTGTGGCTGTTGTAGGACACCCATTTGTTCTCCCCTGGGAACTCTAAAATGGGGTTCGTGATAGTGCCGCACGGGCTGCTGTGATTTAAGTAAGATGCTATTTGTGTATTGTTTTGGAATCTCTCTGTAAAAGCCCCATCCCAGAAGCATGGTGAGCTTGTAGTGATTATTGCTTATTATGCTGATTTATTATACTAGATCAATCTTAATGCATGACTTAGTAGGGCTTATCCATCTTGAGATTTTCCTCTAAAAAGGAGGAAAGTCTGCAGTCCTCTAGAAAAGTCAGAGAACATAAAAAAATATATATATATATAATGTGCATATACAAATATATATATAAAATACAGATGCTATTTTACACATTTTGACAGCAAATTCACAACCTCCTTTTGTTCCTGAGCAGAGGAGGAATGTTAGACCATTCCAAAAATGTCAGAGCGCTGTAATTTAGAGGTTAATGAGCTCCTGATCTATTGTTCTTGTCAAGCAACCACTTTTGGTTGGAGAGAAGTAAATTAGATATGATTGGTCCCAGTAGTACAAGTTTTAGAAATGAAAAGTAATCAAGTAGCAACTTTTTTAATTAAAATTCTGTCAGAATTAACACAAATTGTCACTCTATTTTTCTTCTTTGGGTATTTCTGAGGCTCATATCTCCTTAAGAGTTAACTACAAAAAGTATTCTTGCTGAAAATATCCCTGAAAAAAAAACAAACAAAATGAGAGACAAATGTTTTTACAGCACATGATCTGTAATGAATGATTAAGTAAAACACTTTGTGTAAAATTATGATGTTAATAATGATTCTGTCCCTTTTAATTTATTATATATTCTCAGTCCTAGTAGGCTTGATTTTGATAAAATGCAGCAGCAACTGAGTTTGTAAGATGATTTTATTTTTAGAAATCCTTCTTTGAAAGAACAAATTTCCTAGATACTGCTGCTACTGTAATTATGTACAAAACCAATCACTCATTATAGTTAGGATACATTATCTTCTAGACAGATGAGGCTAAATAAGCAGCACATTAATAATTCATCGTGCAGTTCATTATGCATGTGTATGCATGCTTTGTAGCTGAAATAAGCACCTCATCAACCTGATGCCAACCCTTAAACAATAGTTCTGTGTTATTGCAGCCACATTCAAGTTTACGCTTGTTAAACTGCTACTTGGATTATTTTATCAAGCATTCATTTATTTGTGGTCCCCTACTGCAGAGAACAGATTTTGGAAGCTCCTTTTTTAAGTTAATGACTTGAGCAATGGGTGTTATTAATTCTCAGAATATTATAAACATGATTAATTTTCAGGCAGAGATGTATTATATAAGGATTTCAGCTATGTCAACTTAAATGAGTCAATGTCAAAACAAATATTATTTTAGAAAAAAAAATACTGTAAATTACATGCTTCAACGTGCACTATCCCCATTCCTGAACAAACAGCCCGGGCTCACGCAGTATCCCAGGAAAGCCTTGCTGGAGGAGAGCGGCTCTTTTCAGCTCTACCCAGCTCAACAGTTTGGTTTTTGTCCCAGGCAGGTAGAGTTTAATCTCGGATGTGGCGGTGGCTTCGTCCCAGGTGTCACCAGGCCCCTCTCCCAAGGGCAGGTTTCCCGGGGCTGCTCCATGTGACCCGTTTGCTCCTGTGGCCGGTGTCGCTGCCGCTCGCGTCCCTGCTGCCTGCTCTCCTATAAACACAACCCGTAGTCACTTTAAGTTAATTAGAGCAATATTTAAGGTTTTTGACAGTTAGCGTTAATTACTTTGCGACAATTCTGACATTGTAATAATGAACAAGTTAGAATTAATATTTCCTTGGCATTAATTGTGCAGCCCTTGTCACGTGTGACTGGTCTGGGAGCGGTTGTACCCTTGGGGCTGCTCTCCCAGGGTGAGCAGCAGGGATCCCCTGGGGATTCGGACCACAATCAGGCTTCAGGTGGAGCAAAACTGCGAGAATCGTGGATTAGAAACTCCCTGGAATCGCTGGGCTGGGGGTCCTTGAAGTCCTCCTGGAAAACTATGCACACTAATGCAGGAGATGCATCCGGAGGCTTGGCGAAATAGAAAACAGAGCAAAAAAAACAAAAGCTGTTTGTGTAAATAGCAAATGATCGGTGTAAGATGGTGTGGAAACGCAGCCTCCTGTGCTGTTCTGTGCAGCTTTCTGCGGGACGCAGGCGCTGCGCGGTGGCGAGCAGTCAGCTGAGGCACTCCAACCTCTCCATGATCTACTACAACGTCCTCCTGCAGATGTGCAAAGCTCATGGTGTTGGATTTGACCTCCAGGTAAAAAAAAGGGGAAGATTAGAAAATGTGATACTCACTCCGCATAATTTCTGTATGTAAATTCTAACGTGGTGAAACCATTTAGCACAGAGTAAAGTTTAAGTGTTCTGTTTAGCATAGTATAATGTTTTAGTGTTCTGCTGTATTGGCTGAAGAACACGGCAAGGTGTTTGCTCTGGAGCTGTATTGAAGAGGACTTGGAAGGAAAATAAGTGCTGCAAATCAGAAATAGTTTTATTTTATTTTGCTAATTCGCGAACTCTAAATTGCATAGAGGTCTTCAATTAATTCCATAAATATAGGATTATGGATTATTATGGATTATTAAAAAGGATTGTGGGTGCCAGCCGGGGCTGAGCTTGAGCTCAGAGCCAGGCCAGCACGGGGTGTCCGTGACCATAACGTGGCCAGCGCAGCCGTCTCTCTAGGCACAGTGTGGATACACCTGGAGAGATCCTGGAGTCGGGGAACGGAAAGAGGAACAAAGAAATGAGAAAGCAGTTCTTGCTCAAACAGGGAGTGTTTGAGGCTTATGAACAGAGCTGTTAAATATATACATATATTTTTATACTTATATATATATATATATATATATATGCACCTCTTACTGTGCTGGAACATGGTATTTGGTACTGAATAGACTCTGACATGCATGTATTTACATAAAATCAATGTATTGTATTCTCTACAATAAATTAATTAGAGCAATAATCTACTTACAGTGAGCAATAATCTATTGCATACAATTCAAAACTAGCCTGACTTATATATGATTCTGTACTTACTGTCCCTGTAAAATGTATTAGTATTCACTATTACAATTATCAGTAAAAAAATAAAATAACTCTGTTTTTCAATTTAACAGGAGAAACAGGGAACAGTTTTGATCCTGTATGAAGATGAGAAGCGCCACAAGCTGGGCATGATGTGAGTTTGCACCGCGGGGTGCGGGGTTGGGCGGGCAGGGACGGCACCGGGGTCCCACCAGGGCCTTGCAGAGAGCAAACAGGGGGTCAGGTCCAGCCACCCGCGACCCAAAGACCCTGGGGACCTCTCCTGAGATTTAGTCTTTTGAAAAACTTTCAGGAGGCTTTTGAGCACTTTGGTTAAAAAAACAAAAAAAAAAGGTACAGGAATCCACTTAGATTAAAGTCTGTCTGCACTGAGGACTAACGACATCCTGCAATTAGCTGCAGAGGAGCGAGATTCAGTGTCAATAGCAATCTAGCTGAGCGAGCACAAAGATTAGCGTGGGCTGCTTTTCTCTGCTTCTTGGGGGGATAAATTAAGGGCTAAGTAGAGCACCAAATCAGAAGAGCCAAGACAGAAAATGATCGATACAGAGGAACAGCTGCAAATATTTCCAGCTGTCCTGTTAGTAAAAGGGAAACTAAGGAAAGGGAATTGTTTGTCTGCTACTCAATGGTATGAAAATCAGAAGCAGAGATGGTGCTCGAAAGGGAGCATTTAATACCCCTTTATATTATTCTCCACAAGGTGACCAAGGTCAGAAGGAGCAGCAGATTTGATACTTCAGTGGTAGTTTAGACAAATTAATCTCTCCTAAGAAGACTGAGAAAGCCTAATCTGCACAAACCTACTAAACGCTGGCTGAAAACCTCCCCTCAGAAAATTCACAGAGTTTGCTGCCAAAAGAGGGTGTATTGAGAGAGGGTCTGAAATTGTCCGCTCGCAGGCTGCAGCTATTCCCTTGGAGATGCTGTTTCACAAGGAAACAGCTGGCTAGTTTGCTGGGTGTGACTGCAGGTATTTTGGAGAGCAGGAATAGAATTGAAAATTATCCTGTCAAATTGGAGGAATAATCTGGAAAACACAGTCATGCTCAACTGCCACAAGATGCGAGGAATGACACTTGGGTAGTAGGAGCGAAGATGAAAAACAACGGTCAAGATCCCCAAAAAAGTGTCTGTGAGTCAGAGCGCCTCACGAGCTGAGCAGGCGTCAGCAGGGTCGTGGTCCTGTGGAAAGTGTAAGGACTGTCCTATGGGTGAAAACACGCAGCACGCCAGGCTCTGGAAGGGATCCCTACGTTCTGCTCTGGGGCCTTGGTTGAAGAACTGTTGTTTGGGGCACAGAAAAGCTACAAACCAATTGAGAAGGTCCAAGGGAGGAAATAAGAATATTTACAGATCTAGAAAACGGGGCTTACATAGAAAGACTTAATGAGAAAAAGGAGACAGAGGGGGAGATCTGCTAAGAGTCTTAAACACGTTAAAAGATCCTTCAGGAAGGAGAGGAAAAATATGTTCTCCGTGTTTTGGTGGTAGAAGAAATGGACTTCACTTGCGCCAAGAAAAGAATCAGGCTTAACATAGGAAAATTTTCTGACAGAAAGTGACACGTTAAATAGATTGTTTGGTGAGGTTGTCATTGACAGTGTTTAGTAACAGATTAAACATCAGTCAAGACGGATGCAAGTAGCATTGATCCTGCCCCAGCGCGGGGAAGGAGCTGAATGACCCTGCAGGCCGTCTGCAGCTCCGGGCCCCGTCCGTGCCGGGCGCTATCCCAGTGCCCCGGGTTGCTGTGCAGCTCCCGTGTCCCTGTGCTGTCCCTACACACTCACCTGCAGTGGAGGCAGCTCACATGGATAAAATCACTGAAAAGAAGGGAAATACCTAGAGTGGCCATTTTAGAAATGATTTAAGTTTCTGGAAGTGTTCCACGAGCAGCCTAACGGAGAGTTAAACGTTGGCATTTGCACCGGAGCTGGAAGCAGAGCCCCTTCCCTCCTCAGCCCGTCCCTCCTGCAGGCTCCGCTCCACTCACACCCTGCTCACGCCACAGCTCCGCAGGGAGGTTTCCCTTTATCGGGTTAGTTTTCTGCAAGGTCAGAGCAGAGTCAGCTCGCAGAGGGTGCGCAGGGAGCACGAGAAGTGCCCGGGGAAGGGGCGGATGGACGGGGAGCCTGGGGAGAGGAGGATCCGTGCCCAGCGCCGCGGATCTGCGGCACTGCCCCAGCCCTGCCTTGGGGTGCACTCCAGCTGCCGGCCAAGGATCCTGGAGACGGGGAGTCTTCCGAGATATCCCACCTTGCCCGTTTCTTTTTGGAAGGGCACGTGAGGAGCTGCTCCCTCGTAACTAGCACCCTGGCTCCGGGCTGCGCCTGCTCCCACCAGCTCTGGTTGTGGAGCGGGCGGGTACATAATAATACAGTCCTGCAGCATTGTAATATACCTGCCAGAGAGAAATTATTATCTGTCGTTCACACATTCTGATCCCAGGTTTGTCCTCTCTCACATCCTATGCATTTTCATTATTTCAATTTGAGAACGTTTTCAAGGATATAACAGTTTGATTGAGGTTATAAAATCACGGAAATAGCTAAAACATCTAAAGTCACGGAAACAGCTAAAACATCTCTATGGATTGGCATGCGTTTTACTACATTGCAGATGGACTCGTTGCCAGTTCTAGGCGGTGAATGAGGTCCGTGCTTCCTCAGTGCAGTATTCGATTCCCTGAGATAATGTGTGTTGTCCGTCTGCACCAGGGAGAACTAAAGCCTCAACAGGCCAAGTTGATCCTTTTCAGGAAGCCACAACAACCTAAGAAACACGGATGCTGCTGCAATTGCTCTGCATTGGATCTGTTTTTTCAGGGCATGCAGGCAGAGGCAACAGTTCTTCTAAACTAATTTAGACGTTTGAAGTGTTCTAATGTCGCTGTCCTAATTCAGTGGTAACCTGGAGCCTACTGCTTGCTTCGGCTAAGTTGATTAATAAAAATTATTTATTACACAAATCCTTTCTGTTGACAACTTAAAATGGAGCCTCATCTTTCATATCTCCCGGAAGATTGCCACCTTGTGAGATTGAAAATCCTCATTAAATTCCATCAGCAGACAGGCACAAATGAGAGGGCGATTGTTTTTAAGCATGTGAAGGGAATCGTTGGTAAACTCATTTGTTTGGATATCATTAACAGAACAATCGGAGAGGATCTCCAGGGGGTCCTCATGACCTTTGCTCGCAATCTCTTCATCATTCATCAAGAAATATCAGCACCTAATATGCAAGGCGAGACCAATTTTAAGGTGAGGTGTTAATTAACTAACGATCCTGGTTAATTTCTGTACAAGGGCTGAAAATACCTCATGCTGTATCATAAACAAGTGCTAAACCATCCCTTTTTGTTGTTAGCAGTATGTATTTTACAGTGTCTAGGTCAATATAGTAAGTCTCCCGTGAACCTGTTAGTTAAATTTAATAGTTTGAAACTTTTTCTTTGAAAATAGATATACTTCAGCTTGAAATTACTTGTAAACGAAGTCTCCAAAGCTTCTGATTTTCCCTTGCAAGTAGCAAAGGAGCTCTTGGCGCTGCCTTAGAAAATTCTATCCTGTTTTGTTTGTAAAGGGACATTATCAAGACGGAAATGTTAAATTAGAAACACACATCTTGTTTTGTAATAACTCCGCAGGTGAGCACCCCTGATTTCTTTCAGGCAGGCAGTACTCGGGGTGCTGGTGTCACCTCCTCAAGCCGCTGTCCGTTTCACGAGTCGATTTTGTTCCCTTTTGCTCTCGAATCTGCCCGCACTCCCGTCCGCGGTGCCGCTCTGGGACTGTCCCCCCGGAACACGTCCCTTTACTCAAGCCCTTTTGCGACACTGGCAAAAAAAGAGCTCGTAAAGCAGTGATGAGCCCAACGCGGGCCCTGGAACAGGCCCGCGCTGTAACGGTTCCGTTTGATCGCAGAGAACGGCTCAACTTCCCCAGGGAGGGGGTTGCAATATTGTTAGCCCCTTAGAAAAAGTTTCTGCCATCTTGACCCTCAGTATTTTGTTGCAAGTGAAGGGAAACGCTGCTGCAGATTTGTATCTTCAGTGACATAACACAATTTAAATCTGGTTCTTTTCAGTGTTAGCTATGACTGTAATTTCCTCTGCTAAGCAGAGTGTGAAATGGCAGTTTTAGAAAACAAAAATTCAAGATATTACAGGATAGATATGCAATTTTTTTGTATTATTTGATTTGAGGGAGTGAAAAGCAACCACTGAAGAAAACTCTGTACGAGATATCTTCTTCATAGTGAGTTAACAATTACATACGTGAAATACAGCACCTGCTAGTTAATTAGCAATACAAACTGCACCAGGTTGTATATTTTAGGTACCTGAGGTTTGTGTGTACTCAGTAATTGCCCCGTCCATCCTGCAGTACTAGTGGGTTTAGCTGGTGCATCCTGGCTGCTGAATCCTGGTTTACCCTGGGAGAAGGGAGCGGGCAGCTGTGCGTTCTGGCTGCTCGATTTCGTTATAATGCCCATTAAATAACCTGCATTCCTTGAATCTGTTGCAGATGGCAATTCGAGATATTGAAGCAATTCTAGGGATTACAGCAGAAAACAAACTGAAATTGGAAGAAGAGCAACCTTCTGAAGCAGATGCTCTGAAAGAATAGTTAACAGAAAACATTTAAGTGCCATATTCTTTATGCTGCTGGAAACAAACCCTCATCTGTAAGAACAGGCTTGGTTTTCCTTTGTGCTGTGAATTAATATGAACCGAGAGAGGATACATCAATGATATTTGAGTTTAATTTTTAGTAGAACAACCCTTGTTCCCAAGAAGAATCTAGTGAAAAGCAGAGGGTCATAATAAATATGGCCTCTAAGACAGAAGAGACCATCTGCTTTGACCTGCAAAGCAGAGACTACCTAATTTTACCTGCGGTTCCTCCACAAACCCATAACATGAAACTGAGCTCGTCAGAGCTACCTAAAGATGGGTGAGGAACAAACCACCCCATCCCAGTTAATTTTCCTGCTGGTTAATTATCCCTGCTGTTAAAGCAGTGCCTTAAAGACAGTCCACATTTGTTTGCCTTCAGCTTCCAGCAGCAGGTTCTTGGCGTGGCCCCGTCTGGGAGCCGGGAGGACTGTTTGAAATGACGCCGCTCCGCGTGGCTGAACCGTCCTGCTCCCGGTGCCTGGGCTCCTGCGTCACCCTGGGTTCGTTAACGCGCCCCTACAAGCGCTGACCTTAGCTTGTTGTTTCTCGGTGCCGATAGACTGCGGCAGCAGTTATTTATGTTCACGTCCACATTATTGAAAATAACACCCGTAGCTTTGCTCCACCAAGAGATGCTGAGAAGGGCATTAAAATCGTATTTGTTGTATGTTGTGTTCCAATATACCACTTCAGGGGATCTATGCATCCATCAAATATAGTCTCTATTTCAGATATAGCTTTCTTTTATAGGAATAACACTCTGTGGTGCTACAGTAAAGTCTTCCTGACATATGTTATATTTCTACACCTCGTATTTGTTATCTTAACTCATCAAATCCGTTGTCTCTTTCAAAAATACAACACAATCTAAACGGCACCGTAGAAGAGCTTTTCTTTCTCCATCGGCTGTACATAACGGTGCAGAGCATGGCCAGTACCTTTAAGCTTCCTTCCCAAAAGCTCAAGCAAAATTAGTTTTCAAAACAAGTCATGAATGTTGCAGATCTCTGCCCTGCCTTTCTGATGCCTCGCCGAGTCTTTCATCTATTAGTTTCATAAATACTCTTTTGTGTTAGACATATTTTTACTTTGGTTGCAGAGATAGCTCATTACAGCTGAGAATGTTTACATAAATGTCAATCTATTCTTTAAAAACAAATCTAAGGATTTGTTTATAATTTTTGTTCCTTTTTGTCATGTAATCTCAGTATTGTCTTGGTTTTATACACACTGGAGACCATGTAATGTACCATTGTAATGTGAGATTTAGCCAATAACCTTGCTTCCTAGAAATCTTTTTGCTCTATGATTAGAACTGAAAGGAACAATGTTTTTATGGCTGCAGTAGGTATAACATGCATCACACTTGCAAGAAATAATATGCCAAAAAGCATAGCCCAACTCTTAGTAATTCTTCAGACACAGTTCAGGTCAGACAGGACGTGAGGTTTTTCATTCTGCTTTGAGGGCCTGCAGACCAGGATGTTTTTCTGACTTTTTCACCAACACGTTTGTAATCTACTTTGCTATTTTATTGCCAAGAAAACTCTCTAGATTTCTCAGGTAGCTTCACATCCACACTGTATAATGCCCCAATTTGATCAATAAAAGCAGGATCGTGGAAGGGGCAGCAGGCATGAGAGACCTTGGAGTTGACTAGTGCCTTAAGGGTTAAGAAAAATTAAGCCTCAATCTAAGCCAGAACAACATAAGGTCTGAGAGGCTCATTAGTTCACTGGCACTTAATAGACTGCAGTGTCCTAGGAGTAAATGAAACCTGCACTTCCTTATGGCTTTGTTCTGTTCCGACAAAAGAAAACTGTACCTGTTTGTGCACAGAACAAGTGATCTGAAAGTTCCCATGGTGAGAGAGATTTCTCAGAATGTGCAAAGTGTGAAATGTATTTCGAGGAAAAAAGTTTTTAATTACTATTAACACTTCTGAGCCGTGTGCTGATGGAAGGATTGAAACTGCTCTGCAGTCTCTCACATTCAACTCCCATGCTGCAGGTGCCAAAATTGTGGGTTTTTTTCAGCAAAACAGCAGCTATGAAGTGAAAATCTCATCTCGCAAGAAAAAGATATATGTCACAAACACAGTCATGGTTCTTGAACTCAGACTACTAGATTATTTATTCCTACTCACTGAAGGAATGATAGAGTTCCTGAATTGTAGCTTGAATTTTGGCACTATTCAGAACACGATCCAGGCTGTAAAGAAAAAGGAGTAGCTAGGAAATGTAGGACTGAGAAGATAAAAGGCGGCGCAGGCATGGTTGCTCATCAGAAATTGCCAAAGAAAATCTGCAGCTAATGACAGAGCAAATACCCAGGCTGGTTGCACAGCTGCAAGGTGTGCAGGAATGTTTGTGGGATGGGATGGAGGGAAATGGGCTTTGGCAGTGATGGCAGAAGGCAATTAAAATAAAGTTTCATGCTTTTCATGGGTAAGGGCTGCAAATGAAGATGTACATTCAATTGCCAACACTTCAAGAATCATAAAAGATTATTTCAAAATACAGCAGCATAAAACACGTTTTTGCAATAATGTACATGTTATCTGTAGCATACATGCTGGTTAGGCTGTACTGCACCTTCATCACAAAGATGGGCATTTCAGGAGACTGTTTTCATATAAAAAATAATGTAAGCTTATACTAGAATGCATCTGAGACCTTAGCTGTGCAGGCAAACACCATTAAATGGAGTATATGTGGAATGATCTCCGAAAAGCTTTCAGCGTCATCTCGCTTGACCGTGGTTGTGGAGAAGCCCTGCAGTCTGCCGTGTTTTGCTCCTCGTTGGGAAGTACAGATGCCACCACACTGCAGTTGTGGTCCATGTTCTGCAAGAAGACACACATCTAGATGCACTTGGCTAGGGAAAACTTCACTGCCAGAGGCTGTAGCATTTATTATTTTTCCTTTTTCATGCACTTTAGATAGAAAGAACAACATAAATTTAACTGTAAATATTCTGAAATTAATGCTTTTTAAAACCAAAGTAATTGTGTTTATTTATGTTCCATGGCCTTATAGGCAACATGTATTTTTTGGAAGTAATTTTGCCCATGAGACATAATAGCACAACATCACCCTTAAGAGTATAACACACCAGGTCAGGGCTTCACCTGAGTGAACCTCAATATCAGATTCCACTTTCTTTCTTATCCTCTGTCGTTGTCATCACTAATAAAGATATTAAAGCTAACTATGTGCTCTATTAATTATAGGACGATGAACTCGAGTCAGATTTGTCACTGGCAATGATTAATAATTACTGGTTCTACACACACATAGTACATTGAACAGGGTTCCTTATTGGGTAGTAATTGATTAATTAGGACATTCATACTACATAGCTGAATGGTTGAAGATTGCCAAGTTTGAGATATTGCCTGTAATTATTAGAAGAAAAACAGTTTCCATTTCTCAGTTTCTGGTCTGTACAGTGGTTTTTTTTTTTCTTAGAATGTTTAATGGTCAAAAACCTTAGCTTTTATTTAGATAAATCACAGAACCTTAGTTATGATTTTTAAATATGCCTCTTCAGAGTGGTGCAATACAGGGAACTACTTAAGCCTCAATCACTGTCAAATTCAACTCCAGAAATGTACAGCAACGTGGGCTAATACAGTTTTCCCCTCCCTCGTGTTACTCTGCCTCAAGCTGTAGCTGCGGGATGCGCCGGTGCGGGATGCCTGCTCCGACCAGGACTATTTTTAAGCCTCCGACCGCTTCGCTCCCGTCCTCTTCTTCAGCGTCGCCTCAACGCGACCGTTAACGGCCCTCGCACGCCCGCCCTTTCCCGCCCTTCGCGTGACCGTTGCGGCGCGCGCATGCGCGTTGCGGGGGG